TCCCACAACACACTGTAGCACTTGGCTCCTACAATACACTGTAGCACTTGCTCCTCCCACAATACACTGTAGTACTTGGCTCTCCTACAATACACTGTAGTACTTGGCTCTCCTACAATACACTGTAGTACTTGGCTCTCCTACAATACACTGTAGTACTTGGCTCTCCTACAATACACTGTAGTACTTGGCTCTCCTACAAATGCTCTGCCTGCTTGCATCACCCTCGCTCGCTAAACTACAAACACACACACGCCACACACACACACGCCACACACACACACGCTACACACACACACGCCACACGCCACACATACACACGCCACACATACACACAGCAGTAAATTAACCATTCCCTAAATGATACTGCTCTCCGATATTTGTAAATAAAAAGACAAACAAAAATATGCCCTAATGCTGAAACAAATGCTTAGTTTTGACCTATCTTGGGGGCATTGTGTTTCATCGCGTTACTTAAGGCATCAAATCTTCTCAAACTAGTAATTTCATTAGACTGACAGACAGACAGACGTATGTGTATTACTGATAGCATTCATACATACATACATACATATATACATAAACACAATATACATACACATATACGCTCCCCTCCTCCCCACACAGCCTCAATTAACAAAATGCAACACTGATTTATATATATATAAGACCCAAGGTACTCATGAAATATAGACTTAATTATTGCTTCACCCATTAACGAGAAATAACAGAGGCAGTGTAAGAATAATGCCACCGAAAATGGATACAGTATAAAATAATCAGGAAATTTCTGTAAAATTCTCTAAAAAAAAAAAAAAAAAAAAAAAAATATATATATATATATATATATATATATATATATATATATATATATATATATATATATATATATATATATATATATATATATATATATATATATATATATATATATATATATATATATATATATATATATATATATATATATATATATATATATATATATATATATATATATATATATATATATATATATATATATATATATATATATATATATATATATAATGTGAAAAAATTAGGAAATTTCTGTGCTCAAAAAATCACGAAATTTCTATAATTTTTCTCAAAAAATCACGAAATTTCTATAATTTTGCTAAAAAAAATTACGAAATTTCTATAATGTGCTAAAAAAACATTCAATTTATGCTCAAAATATCATGAAATTTAAAAAATGTGCTAAAAAAAATCAGGAAATTTCTGTGCTCAAAAATTAAATTTCTCTCATGCTCAAAAACTCACAAACCCTAAAAAAAATAAATAAACATCGCCAGTATCCATTTTCCTCCGTCTTAATGTATACCCCAATGAGACCCCACAAATTAATCCCATTGATAATCTGGGCAGAGGCTATAGGTTATCAACGTTGACGGCCGAACATTGATGCTTGGCTGCGTTACGGTGCGGGTAATTGATGTCGTACAGTCATGCACCAGCGATATATTTCTTTCCACACCGTCAATGTATTCTAATACTGCCTCTGTTAATAAAGTCTCAATTAATTACCTATAATTACCTCTGGATGTTATTTCTCTATAATATGATCTTGAACTTTGCTTTTCATCAATTAAAATAATAATTATGTCAACCAACTTGGTAAATTCTTAATAAATCCTGACAAATTCTTCATAAATTCTACATGGAGAGAAAAACAAGGTGGGGTTAACCAAGATGTCAATAAAGAAGATTTTGATAAATTATAGTTTAACGTACGTCTAGAGCTACTGGGTCAAATAATATTTAATGGCATTCGAAATAAAAATATTTGGCTATGGTTACACTGCAGGAGAACTGTTTTAATCTAAGACGCAAAAACGTCCAATGCCGGAAAAGTACAAACGGCAAGATCGCTGTACCGTTTAACCCCAGACGACGCGGGCCAATCCGCTCCGACCCGACCTAACCAATGCCAGGTCAGGTCAGGTTAGATGCGATTGGTTAGCGTCGCCCGCCGTAGAGAGAGAGCAAAACACATAGGGTCCAGCGGTCATGCTCGCAGTGCTTTCCACGCATAACACACGTGGCTACTAAAACACATTAATGCAAGGTGAATCAAGAGAACGTTTACCTTGAAATAGGGACTTTTCTCCTCCTGCGACAAGGCATATCAAGAAAAATAAAATATGAAGGCAAAAATATTTCAAGAGTAAGAAAAAAAAAATGCTGGAACAATTGTTGATGTAAGTAAGAGTTCGGTGCAGTGACAGGTGAGGGATGTCATAGCATATAATGTAACATATACCGCACTGGACTACTTATTGAAATGTGCAAGAGTGATGTGGGTTCGTGTGATCGACCTCAAAAAAAAAAATAAATAAATTAAGAAGAGTTGTACTAGAGGGCCGTGGCGACTAGTCCAAGTCCGGCGCTTGAGTCATTCCTGTTGAGTCATTCCTGTTGAGTCATTCCTGCTAGAGACCCGCGTACACAAATGACAACTTAACACGACACAAACCACACCAAACCTGACCATAATGTAGCCTATTGATATCAGGTCAGGTTTAGGCCGCATCTGCCGGCTCTCTAGCGCGTACCAAGAGCCGGGACTCGGTCTGTCGCCACTTCCTTCCTAAGAGTTAATGTTAGCCATGACGCATCAGACAAGAGTCAAACTTCAGCAATGCCAATGACAGCTTCTAGCACTAAGATAAAACCTACCAGCAATGAAGGCAAGTGCAGAGCAACACAACATGCAGTGCAACGCAGGGATGAGGTGTGGTCGGGTGGTCAATATGGTGTACTGTACTCAAGTGGTCAATATGCTGTACTATACTGTACTCAAGTGGTCACTATGCTGTACTGTACTCAAGTGGTCAATATACTGTACTGTACTCAAGTGGTCAATATACTGTACTGTACTCAAGTGGTCAATATGCTGTAATGTACTGTACTCAAGTGGTCAATATACTGTACTGTACTCAAGTGGTCAATATACTGTACTGTACTCAAGTGGTCAATATGCTGTACTATACTGTACTCAAGTGGTCAATATACTATACTGCACTCAAGTGGTCAATATGCTGTACTGTACTCAAGTGGTAACTATACTATGCTGTACTGTACTCAAGTGGTCAATATACTATACTGTACTGTACTCAAGTGGTCAATATGCTGTACTGTACTCAGGTGGTCACTATGCTGTACTATACTCAAGTGGTCACTATGCTGTACTGTACTCAAGTGGTCAATATGCTGTACTGTACTCAGGTGGTCAATATACTGTACTGTACTCAAGTGGTCACTATACTGTACTCAGGTGGTCAATATACTGTACTGTACTCAAGTGGTGAATATGCTGTACTGTACTCAAGTGGTCAATATGCTGTACTGTACTGTACTCAAGTGGTCAATATACTGTACTGTACTCAGGTGGTCACTATGCTGTACTGTACTCAAGTGGTCACTATGCTGTACTGTACTCAAGTGGTCAATATGCTGTACTGTACTCAGGTGGTCAATATACTGTACTGTACTGTACTCAAGTGGTCACTATACTGTACTCAGGTGGTCAATATACTGTACTGTACTCAATATACTGTACTGTACTCTACATCCTGGTTCCATTTACACAAAATAAAAAAAATAAAAACTATAAGATGACAATTAGTTTTAGTAAATTAATTCTGTAAAACATTATATTTACAACAAAAAATTCTCCTTGTGTTGAAATTAATGTTAACAGATAAGTTAACATCCAATTTAACTATTATATCACATCATGGTCTATGTTAAAATGAACCATAACAGATAAATTAGCACGTTAAAATGACCAATTATACGTTAAAATGAACAATAACGACCAATTACACACTACAATGATCTAACAAGGAGCATTAACGATCAATTACACGTTAAAAAAGGCATCAACGACCAATCACAGTACACATTACAACGACCAAACGACCATACCTTTGCCCACCATTATGCAATCATCACATAAAATAAGAAACAAGAATATCCGTTTATAATAACATTCACAAGACCTTTAAGCATGCACTGATTAGTATTAGCCCTGAAACCCACATCTCTCTGGTACAGGCAAGGAGCCCTGATAATTGCATCGGGGTCGACACACTTCCTTCATTTAATTACTAAATCACAATCGGAATTCCACTGTTTTGGAGATTTTTATTATTATTATTATTTTATATTTTTTCATTATTTTGATTCTTTTTGGGGGTAATTATTTCATTTTGATTTTTTTTCCGTTATTTTGATTATTTTTTTGTATTTGTTCTTTATTTTGATTCTTTTCCATTATTTTGATTATTTTTTTGTATTTTTTTTTCCATTATTTTGATTCTTTTTTTTGGTATTTCAATATTTTTTTTATATTTAGTTATATTTAAGAGATGATTCATAAGGTTTTAAGGCATTCTCGGTTAATTTTGAAGAACGAATCATTAATCTCAATGTTTGTTTCTTTATGACGATTCTATAAATTCTTCGTTAAATTTGAGTTATGAGTGATTAATTTTTTTAAGGGTTTAATTTGATTAATTTATGAAGCAGTGAGTTGATTTTTTGTTTTTCATTTGATTAATTTGTGAAGTAGATTTGATTTTTTTTATTTAAGTTTTTCATTTGATTAATTTGTGAAGCAGCGAATTGATTTGTTTAAGTTTTTCATATGATTAATTTGTGAAGTAGCGTGTTGATTTGTTTAAGTTTCTCATTTGATTAATTTGCAAAGCAGTAAAGTTTCTCATTTGATTAATTTATGAAGTAGTGAATTGATTTGTTTAAGTTTCTCATTTGATTAATTTATGAAGTAGCGTGTTGATTTGCTTAAGTTTCTCATTTGATTAATTTACAAAGCAGTAAAGTTTCTCATTTGATTAATTTATGAAGTAGTGAATTGATTTGTTTAAGTTTCTCATTTGATTAATTTACAAAGCAGTGAAGGCTATAAAAGAGATGTGCGTCCCATGAGGCAGGAGTGTAGTGTATTGACTTACTGATCAGTGTCCTCGTTAACGAACATTTGCTGACCCCAAATTGACAGCATAGGATCAACTATACCAGTCTTCCTCGTCTGAAAACTATGTGTTGGGGAAAAGATGGTAGAATTAAGTGTCCGAGGAGGAGGAGGAGGAGGGGGAGGGGGAAGGAGCAGGCATAAGAAGTGTGTCTGAATGTTTCTCTGATCCAAAATAAACTCTCCAAAAAGTTCGGATGATAAATCTTTCCGTCCAACTTGGTGAGATATTAACGTCGATTCGATTAATAATTTCTCGTAACATTGGGTCAAATGAGTGTCACGTCCCCCTGGTGGCAAACAGACCCGACTAATTTTGTGTCTTATAACTCAAATCATCTATTGACTTCTGACATCCGACTGTACTTACGACCGCCATTATTACATCGTTTACATCCTCACGTGTCCAGTTGGGTTGGGGGGCGGGGGAATTTATCACACGAACCTCGGAGAGAAAAAATACCTGATGGGCATAACAAATTATTATTTATTTGTTAATTAAAGAAACTCTAAAACTAAAAGACAAAGTTGTGGCTAGACAGTCATTTGTTTCGTCTTTTTAACATGTGGAGTTTATAGATGATATAAGTCAAATGTTTATAGAGAATCGGATGCCCTGAGCACCACTTGAGCTTTGGTATTAAATCTAATTAAAATTCACCTGATAATCCTTCAACCTCACCTGGGATTACAGCGCAACCTCGATATAATGGACTTCTCTCTATATATATACTCCGTTAAATGGGGAGGGGTCATATCTAATGGAACCTCGATATAAAGGACTTCTCTCTCTATATATACTCCGTTAAATGGGGAGGGGTCATATCTAATGGAACCTCGATATAATGGACTTCTCTATATATACTCCGTTAAATGGGGAGGGGTCATATCTAATGGAACCTCGATATAATGGACTTCTCTCTATATATATACTCCGTTAAATGGGGAGGGGCCATATCTAATGGAACCTCGATATAATGGACTTCTCTCTATATATATACTCCGTTAAATGGGGAGGGGTCATATCTAATGGAACCTCGATATAATGGACTTCTCTCTATATATATACTCCGTTAAATGGGGAGGGGTCATATCTAATGGAACCTCGATATAATGGACTTCTCTATATATACTCCGTTAAATGGGGAGGGGTCATATCTAATGGAGCCTCGATATAATGAACTTTTCTCTTTATGTAGTATATTAGATGGGGGTTTCATATATACGTAATGGAACCTCGATATAATGGATTTCCTCCCCATGTAGTTTGTTAAATAAAGGTTTCACTGTAAATAGAACTGATCACCATTTGACCTAACCCAACCTAACATAACCAAACCCAACCTAAGCTATTAAGGTGAGGGCGAAAATAGTCCGTAACCCCAAATGACAACAGAGAGAATAGGTTAAATTATGACCTATTATATGAGTCACCTAAGATACGAGAGCAAAATGATAAGTAATTATTTATGTCTCATCCATAACAAAGAAATAATGATGGACTCTTATCACCCCACATGACAGAATATGACATAAAACCTAACCTAACCTAACTCCCATATAACACACCACCAAGAAATTGTTCGTAAATTAATATCAAGTTTAATTTTCTTCCTGGGATTCCACAAGGCAGTGTACTACTCCCTACGACGCTTAACTCAAGTGATGCTCTGAGCTACGAGACAAGATGGAATATATCTCTTTGGCATGACAATAAAAAAGACAGAGATGTAATTTGATACATCTTGATTATTAAGATCAATACATATATACTGAACTCTGTGTTAAAATCTATTGTTCCAGTTCTAAGATTCATTAGGGAGGGGGAACTTATATTGGGTATCTAATGTTATTCTTTAGATGAGAGTAGTGGGCTGTTAAGCTGGGCCCCATTCAGTAGTTAAGTGTTAGAACTGGGCACCATTCAGCAGTTAAGTGTTAGAACTGGGAACCATTCAGCAGTTAAATGTTAGAACTGGGAACCATTCAGCAGTTAACTGTTAGAACTGGGAACCATTCAGCAGTTAACTGTTAGAACTGGGCACCATTCAGCAGTTAACCGTTAGAACTGGGCACCATTCAGTAGTCAACCGTTAGAACTGGGAACCATTCAACAATTAACTGTTAGAACTGGGAACCATTCAGCAGTTAACCGTTAGAACTGGGAACCATTCAGCAATTAACTGTTAGAACTGGGAACCATTCAGCAATTAACTGTCAGAACTGGGAACCATTCAGCAGTTAACTGTTAGAACTGGGAACCATTCAGCAATTAACTGTTAGAACTGGGAACCATTCAGCAGTTAACTGTTAGAACTGGGAACCATTCAGCAGTTAACTGTTAGAACTGGGAACCATTCAGTAGTTAACTGTTAGAACTGGGAACCATTCAGCAGTTAACCATTAGAACTGGGAACCATTCAGCAGTTAACTGTTAGAACTGGGAACCATTCAGCAATTAACTGTTAGAACTGGGAACCATTCAGCAGTTAACTGTTAAAACTGGACACCATTCAGCAATTAACTGTTAAAACTGGACACCATTCAGCAATTAACTGTTAAAACTGGACACCATTCAGTAACTGTTAAAACTGGACACCATTCAGCAATTAACTGTTAAAACTGGACACCATTCAGCAATTAACTGTTAAAACTGGACACCATTCAGCAATTAACTGTTAAAACTGGACACCATTCAACAATTAAGTGTTAAAACTGGACACCATTCAACAAGTAACTGTTAAAACTGGACACCATTCAACAAGTAACTGTTAAAACTGGACACCATTCAACAAGTAACTGTTAAAACTGGACACCATTCAGCAATTAAATGTTAAAACTGGACACCATTCAACAATTAACTGTTAAAACTGGACACCATTCAACAATTAACTGTTAAAACTGGACACCATTCAACAATTAACTGTCAGAATTGGACACCATTCAACAAGTAACTGTTAAAACTGGACACCATTCAACAATTAACTGTTAAAACTGGACACCATTCAACAATTAACTGTCAGAACTGGACACCATTCAACAAGTAACTGTCAGAACTGAATGTGATAAGACCTGCCCAAATAATACCTAAGTAACGTCACTAAAACGTGATATATAAACAATAGTGACCAAGAACTCCCATCAAGGAAACATTATTTACTAAACTGTAAACATGAGTGATTAATCGGAGAGAGGGGGGGGGGAGATGATTTATGTCACCGCTTCACTCCGGTAGAAAGATATCGTAAAATAAATAAATTAATTAATAGGTGTAAAACTAAATCTCTTTGTGGTTAACCAATATTGACCTTAGAAAAAAAAAATTACCCTAAGCTGTATTCAAGCTGTGGGGTCTTATATCCTAAGCTGGGGTTAAGCTCTGGGGTCTATATCCTAAGCTGGAGTTAAGCTCTGGGGTCTATATCCTATGCTGGAGTTAAGTTCTGGAGTCTATATCCTAAGCTGGGGTTAAGCTCTGGGGTTTACTGTATATCCGAAGTTGGAGTTAAGCTTTGGGGTCTAAATATACCCTAAGCTGAAGATAGCCCTTGTGGTCTACATCCTAAGCTGGAGTTAACCTCTGGGGTCTATAAATATCAGAAGAGCTCTCAAACTGAGTGAGGTATCTTGAGTTAAAAGCACGAGACGAGCTGCTAAAACAAACAATAAACAAACAAAATCACTATTGCCTGAAAACAAAAAACAAAAATCACTATCGCTTCAAAAACAAAATCACTATCGCCTAAAAAAAAAATCACTATCGCTTCAAAAACAAAATCACTATCGCCTAAAAAAAAAATCACTATCGCTTCAAAAACAAAATCACTATCGCCTAAAAAGAAAAAATCACTAACGCTTCAAAACAAAAATAAATTAGCCACCCTAGTTATGAAAACATATTAACGATCAACCTAACTAATTCTGTTGAGGTTAACACTACAATACAGGTCACACTAAATATTGATGGATTCTGTACATCTTCAAACAGAAACAACCGGACAGTTAAACCACCATATAACGAGCTTTAATATAATGGTTTTTCTTATATATAATCCCAAAGATGTTTTATATTTAATGGACGTTATTATAGGGGTTTAATTTTACGGACTGACCTATCATATTCTGACCGTTATATAGGAGTTTTACTGTCAGTTAGTACGAGATGATGTGGTTTTTGAGTGAGTGGAAAGGAAGTTGATTAATGGGGCTATAGTTCATTAATGTATCTAGAGTGTTGTGCTGGTGGGGTCATGTTTACAGGAGGTGTTATCATACTTACATGACTGGGGTATAAGGAAGGCTATTTGATACAGTCTAAACAAAAATAATCATTATTTTTTCTACACTATGGTTCACCAAAATACAATCTATATTTTAAAACACTTTTATATTTTTTTTACTATTGTCTATTAAATACGAGAGTAGAGGCAAGAAAGCCTTATGCACTAATTTTTGTAAAAAAAAACAAAAAAATTAAATGAAAAACCAAAAAAAAGTCAAAATTAAATTAAAATCTTGATAGCCAGACATAGCAGCCACAAATAAAGAGCTTTCTTGAGTCTACAGAGAGATGCAAGGAAGGAGATTAACTTTATACTGTACTCTTATATACAACTAAACCATGAAAAAGATTTATATAGTTGTGTATATACTGGATTATAACCTTACAATATGGCCAACCTCGGGAACCAGCTTGGCCACCCATGTGTCAAATAAAACTTGTACTGCCATGCTGGGCCAACTGACCTTATTGTTTATATTATGTAGTATATATATATATATCACAAATCAAGTACTGAACTAGTCATAGGTGAGGGAGATACATGATTGGTGGGTTACCTGAGGCAGAGTACGGTACTAACCTTAAGTCTACCAGCGGCAGGAAGTCGACGTAGATCAGCTGACGCAAACTTGGCAAACTAAAGACAGAAATATGTCCCGTTGCCACATAGCATACCAAGCACACGCTGTCTGTAGGGGAGCAACCAATGCTGTTTATTAATACGGTTAGGTGAGGTTAGGTGACACATTAGTACATACCATAGCAGACACTGTACTTGACACACCTACACTTCCTCAACTATAAAGTCAGGTACCCATTCACACCTGGGTTAACTGAGGGGTGCCTGGGATCGAACCAACGTCTCTTAATACACGAGATTAATATTGTACCCTCTTGTCCACTGCACCCCTAGAGCCAGGATTAAGGAAAGACTCTCTCTCTCTCTCTCTCTCTCTCTCTCTCTGGAATCATTCACGTACAATCGGGTCAAAAGTTCACTCCCTCCCAAAATGAGGCAACGTCGACCCCAAACGAGACAGGGTCATTCAAGGTCAGTTACTTCAGAGCTTCATTCCTCTGACTCTGTTTCACTGCAATGGGGAAATTTTGTCCACGACTACACACTATTGACATAATTAGCCCACTGATAGTAAACACCAATTTGGACCCTAATGACTTCAAGTACAACCTTTACAACGTTCATCAAGAGAATGCCATGAAGAGTGCGGCCAAGCAAAGTTTAACAGCTTCACTACGTCGACGCCAGATGATTTTATTCAGCAGAGACAGGACGCACACACATGCATGCACACACACATAGAAGGTAAGTCATAGGTCAAGCTCACATGTACAGGGAAGCATCACAGGTCAGGTCAGGTCAGGTTAGGTCAGGTCAGGTCAGGTTAGGTCAGGTTAGGTTAGGTTAGGTTAGGTTAGGTTAGGTTAGGTTAGGTCAGGTCAGGTCAGGTTTCTATAAAATTTGGAAGAAACTTTTCTTTATTTCAACACCTCAAATACCAAATCAAACTACATACATACATACATACATACACACACACACACACACACACACACACACACACACACACATACATACAGCAACTCTTACGAAACTAACCTTTTATCTGAATAATTTCTGACTTGACGACAAAAGACACCTCCGTGATTATCTGTTTGTACACACAGTTCTGCGATGGCAAGGCCACTACCCTAGCCACCTTTTCTGACGCGATGACGATGAACTGTCTGTCTCCCCACGTCTGCTCTGCCGAATTCGTGGGAGACATTCTGTTGTCGACGAGCGATTTGGTTGGCGTTCCTGCGACAGATGGACAGTAGTATGGGGGTGGGGTGGGGTGGGGGGGGGGAGGTTAATTGGTGAATGAGAAACGGGAGAATAAATGGGATATGGACAGAAAAAACATGAAGAAGAAACAAACAGGAACACAAATACATGAGAAATAGACAGATAGTAACACAATAATTGAGAAATAGACAGAAAGTAACAATAACTTCGATTGATTTTACTAATTTTAAAACACAACAGATAAGAATAATTTATCTTGGGTTAAATCTGACACAAGACCTATCAGATTTTAGTGTTATTGAGTTAAAATCTGATACAAGACCTATCAGATTTTAGTGTTATTAAGTTAAAATCTGACACAAGACCTATCAGATTCTAGTGTTATTGAGCTAAAATCTTACATGAGACCCCATCAGATTTCCCACCACAAAGAAATCTGAAAAAAATCCTTACGTTCCAATTTTCTTTCCCTGTTAGCGTCCTTCCATGACTCATACTGGTAAGGGATTAGGTCGCCATTGCAGTCTAGGAACGACATCGCCAGCACTGACCCCTTTAGCCTAAAAATGGTTCCTGGAAGATACGAGGTCAAGGGTCATTAATGAGTTCAAGGTCGTTAGCTCGTTAATTATACCAGTTTAAGGTCATTAGGTTGTTAATTATATCAGTTGAAGGTTGTAAACACTCTAGCAAACATCGATAAAGTGTAAACACCCATCAAATAAACATCGGACTAACTTACCGCTGGGTGAAACAGTGGCAGGTGTAGTTGCTCTAGTTTCTTGTGATGGCAATGAAACCATGACTTGTATTACCGACCCTAAACTAGTGCCGACCCATAGAGTTGGTGCCGTTTGGGTATCTGTCGACATAAACAATGGAAGATGGTTTAAGAATAGTATGGTGAGAGTATGGTGTGGTGGTGTGAGTATGGTGTGGTGGTGTGAGTATGGTGAGGTGGTGGTGTAAGGTGATATTAGAGTACTGTGTATGGTGGTGACAGAGTACAGTGTATGGTGATAAGAGTACAGTGTATGGTGACAAGAGTACATTGTATGGTGGTATGGATGTTGAGATTATTTCAATGCCTCAGAACACAGGTTTGAGAGAGAGAGAGAGAGAGAGAGAGAGAGAGAGAGAGAGAGAGAGAGAGAGAGAGAGAGAGAGAGAGAGGAGAGCAGAGCGAGAGAGAGAGCACTCACCATTTTTTCTGGTATAAGAGTCGACAAACGCTAAACACTGTATCGCCTCGCTACTAATATTCTCAAGGCTGCTTATGCTGGAAGATCGAGAACGGCTGAACGATCCGTCAAGCTTGTCTCTGTACATATCCGAGGTGGGTTTAGGTGTGTGGGGTGGGGGGGGGTGAAAGACCATAGATTAGAAGGTTGTATATTGCCATCTAACGAGGTGATTGAACTCATGTGAGCATCTAATACCAACATTATATATATCATCTATTATTCTACATCAGATCAACTTATATATATATGATATATTAATTGTATATAAGTATTTGATCTTATATAAGAACTTTATAATACTAAAAGATTAATTAAAGGCAAAAGCAGTCACTGATAAAAGCTGCAAGACTTAAGAAGCTTCTCTCTCACTGTTAAAAGTATTTTAGCCATATTACAATACCATAGCGACATCTAGCCATACCTCTCAGACATCAAAAACAAACCTTAAGTCTAGCCATATTCTTTACTAGCCATAACAGAGCCGGTACAGCCATAACAGAGCCGGTACAGTCATAAAGAGCCGTTACAGCCATAACCAGAGCCGGTACAGCCATAACCAGTGCCGGTACAGCCATAACGCAGATGGCTATAGCACCAGAGCCAATACAGCCATAACCAGAGCGGTACAGTCATAAGAAGCGGTACAGCCATAACCAGAGCCGGTACAGCCATAACCAGAGCCGGTACAGCGCAACCAGGCGGTACAGCCATAACACAGGCCGGTACAGCCATAACAGAGCCGGTACAGCCATAACCAGAGCAGTACAGCCATAACGAAGCCGATACAGCCATAACAGAGCCGATACAGCCATCAAAATCAATACGGCCGCTAACAAACAACATATCTCACATTACATGCACATCTCTTCCACATATTTCGTGCACATCTCTCCCACACATGCACATCTCAACACACCCCCATACAATAGGTAGTTAAGTAGTTCTTCAAACGTCTCAACGCATCATTACAGAACTAACGAAGAGGGACTATGCTGCCATCGCGTTAGGTTCACGGTATCAACGACAAAGAGGCGTTTAAATTTGCAGCTTACAGTAAAACCTCCATCTAATGAACTATATAGAGATGAAAGTCCATTATATCGAGGGTCCGTTAGATGTGAAACCTCCATCTAATGAACTATATAGAGATGAAAGTCCATTATATCGAGGGTCCGTTAGATGTGAAACCTCCATCTAATGAAGACTATATAGAGATGAAAAGTCCATTATATAAAGGGTCCGTTAGATGTGAAACCTCCATCTAATGAACTTCCTATAAAAGATGAAGTCCATTATATCGAGGTCCGTTAGATGTGAAACCTCTATCTAATGAACTATATAGAGATGAAAGTCCATTATATAAAGGGTCACGTTAGATGTGAAACACTCCATCTAATGAGCTATATAGAGATGAAAGTCCATTATATCGAGGGTCCCGTTAGATGTAAACCTCCATCTAATAGACTATAGAGATGAAAGTCCATTATAAAGGTCCGTTAGATGTAGAAACCTCCATCTAATAGACTATATAGAATGAAAAGTCCATTACTATCAAGGGTCCGTTTGATGTAAAACCTCCATGTAATGAACTATAAAGAGATGAAAGTCCATTATATCAAGGATCCGTTAGATGTGAAACCTCCATCTAATGAACTATATAGAGATGAAAGTCCTTTATATCAAGGGTCTGTTAGATGTAAAACCTCCATCTAATGAACTATATAGAGATGAAAGTCCATTATATCAAGGGTCCGTTAAATGTGAGAGCCTCCATCCAATGAACTATATAGAATGAAAAGTCCATTATATAGAGGGAGTCCGTTAGATGTGAAACCTCCATCTAATGAACTATATAGAGATGAAAGTCCATTATATCAAGGGTCCGTTTGATGTGAAACCTCCATCTAATGAACTATATAGAGATGAAAGTCCTTTATATCAAGGGTCCGTTTGATGTGAAACCTCCATCTAATGAACTATATAGAGATGAAAGTCCATTATATCAAGGGTCCGTTAGATGTGAAACCTCCATCTAATGAACTATATAGAGATGAAAGTCCATTATATCAAGGGTCCGTTAGATGTGAAACCTCCATCTAATGAACGATATAGAGATGAAAGTCCATTATATCAAGGGTCCGTTAGATGTGAGAACCTCCATCTAATGAACTATATAGAGATGAAAGTCCATTATATCGAGGGTCCGTTAGATGTGAAACCTCCATCTAATGAACTATATAGAGATGAAAGTCCATTATATAAAGGGTCCGTTAGATGTGAAACCTCCATCTAATGAACTATATAGAGATGAAAGTCCATTATATAAAGGGTTCGTTAGATATGAAACCTCCATCTAATGAACTATATAGAGATAAAAGTCCATTATATAAAGGGTTCGTTAGATATGAAACCTCCATCTAATGAACTATATAGAGATGAAAGTCCATTATATAAAGGGTCCGTTAGATGTAAAACCTCCATCTAATGAACTATATATATAGAGAGATGAAAGTCCATTATATCAAGGGTCAGAATTAGATGTGAAACCTCCATCCTAATGAACTATATAGAGATGAAAGTCCACATTATATAAAAGGGTGGTAGATGCCCGGCCTCATCTAATGAACTATATAGAGATGAAAGTCCATTATATCGAGGGTCCGTTAGATGTGAAACCTCCATCTAATGAACTATATAGAGATGAAAGTCCATTATATCGAGGGTCCGTTAGATGTGAAACCTCCATCTAATGAACTATATAGAGATGAAAGTCCATTATATCAAGGGTCAGTTAGATGTGAAACCTCCATCTAATGAACTATATAGAGATAAAAGTCCATTATATCGAGATTTCACCGATATTTCCCATTTTTATAACATCTTCATTCCTCCGCTGATGTCAATATCGACCAATGTTTCTGAACACATGTCGTATCTCTATACAAATTTACCTCATATTAAAACCAACAATATATATATGATCATACAGCATATGTTGGTCTGATGAAAACATAGTCAGTATATATCAACATCAAACAAACTTAAGGTTAAATTCTATAAATTAATATTAAACATTATATAAACAGACCTTAAGCAAACACTAAATGAACAGGCATTAAACACACTGAACTAACAATGAACACGAAATATAATAAATACCACCAAACACACCACGAAACATAAGGAAATAACACCTAAACATTTATAATCATACCACCAAACATACCACAAAACATACCAATAAACATAAGGAACACCAAAACATTAATAAAAAACTTCCAACATTTCTTTCCTAAACATTAAAAAAAAAACCACTGACTGACATCCAGGCAAATTTCTCAGAGCATAAAAGGTGAAAATTCAGTTCAAGATGATGAATGTAACCAACCAGGGAGGTGGAAAGGAGACTGGTTGAAGACTGGTGATACTAAAATAAATATTAATTATGGGTAAATAGGGTTAGGTTAGGTTAGGTTAGGTTTAGGTTAGTGGCAGATGGATGGGAGGGAAGGAGGGGGGGAGAGAGGTGGGGGTTACAGTGGGGTGGGGGTGATCTCTCTACATAGTTAAATAACATAAATATTGACCCCAGATCCCCCAATGCTAGCTTAAATAAACACTAAATTATTAAAATGTTTAGCAATCGAGAACTAAACAATTATTAAATGTTTATAATCGAAAAACTAAACAATTATTAAAATGTTTAACAATCGATAAAATAAACATCGGTTGGAATATAATAATTAAGTACCTTACTGACCTGATCCTGATGTGTGATGATTATTTCATTGTTATGTTATGTGATGTTAGGTTATATTACGATGTGATGTAGTATGTTATTGATGTTATGTTATGTTATGTTATGTGATGTTATGTTATGCTATGTTAGGTTATATATGATGTTATATTTATGGCTAACACAAAAAAAAAAAAAACAAAAAAAAAAAAAATTATGTATTTATGTTATGTGATGTTATGTAATGATTGGTGTTATTATGTAGTCATTTTCTATATTCATAACTTATAAAGGAGTTAAAAATAGCTACCCCCTATCCCTTCAGTATACCACTGCCTGTAAACAACTCTTAACTATTATTTAATAAGGTGTCGTTTTACTTGGATGATCGTCTGTTTTTAAGATTTTTTATCATATGGGATTAGGTTAAAGGTTGATTAGGGTTGGGTTGGTTAGATTGCATAAAACAAGTGATTGGCTAAGTGGGAATTTACCAAGTGGGAATCGTCCCAGTGGGAATTGGCCTAGTGGGAATCATCCTAGTGGGAATTGACCTAGTGGGAATCATCCTAGTGGGAATTGACCAAGTGGGAATCATCCTAGTGAGAACTAACCAAGTTGGAATCAGCCAAATGGTATAGAACTGTAAATATAATTCGATTACATTCACCTCCTTACAACTTCAATCCAAAATGCAGAGAAATGCTAAAAAAAAAAACAATTATAAACTAATAATATAAAGTGCAACAACAAGAAAGACACACAGGTCAACACAGGAACATCAGATTCATCGTTACTCCAAGAAGCCTTTAGCGTCACTCTATTGGTTTGGGTACACGTGTATATAGGTATTAAGTGGTGTTTTGTCCAGATCCTATAGGGGTTTAATACTCAGTCCATTATATCGAGGGTCCGTTAGATGTGAAACCTCCATCTAATGAACTATATAGAGATGAAAGTCCATTATATCGAGGGTCCGTTAGATGTGAAACCTCCATCTAATGAACTATATAGAGATGAAAGTCCTTATATCGAGGGTCCATTAGATGTGAAACCTCCATCTAATGAACTATATAGAGATGTAAGTCCATTATATCGAGGGTCCGTTAGATGTGAAACCTCCATCTAATGAACTATATAGAGATGAAAGTCCATTATATCGGTCGTTACATATAAGAACCTCCATCTAATGAACTATATAGAGATCCATTATATCAAAGCTTTACTATATGTTAAGCTAATCAACACCATTTAGTTATATAAACATAAAAACATTAATAATTAATCCAATTTTTGCCTGAGTCAATAGCGTAGTTATGGTTATCTATCAATTCAAGAA